CTGCGCGCTTCTTCAGCTCCTGGAGGACAGCAATGCAGGACAGCAATGCAGGACAGCAACGGAGAAACAGGCAACGGGCGTAGCGTAGCACGCTTAATCAGCAACTACTGCGACAGGAAAACCCATGGATGGATGCATCTCTTAAAGCGTATCTGAAAAGGCGGCTAAACCTTCTGCAGCTGAGCGACCATCCATCCCTCACATCTCCGCAACTCGCAACCCTCGGCAGCGCACAGGTCGTCGCGCTCGTGCTCCGCGCCCAGCAGCTTAAAGCGCAGGTCCGACTCGCCCTCCGCCCTCCGCCCTCCGCCCTCTGCGCCTCGTGTGCAGCAAGCTCGCCTTCAGAACCTAATAGACTCACCCACCTCCTGCACCTGATTAACCCACCTGTTGCAGCTGAGCGACCATCCCTTGCAGCTCCGCAACCCGTGCCTTGGCCCGACCCTCGGCAGCGCGCAGGTCGTCCCTCTCGTGCTCCGCGGCCAGCAGCTTGCTGCGCAGGTCCGCCTCGCCCTCCGCCCTCGCACGCCGCTCCTCGTGCAGCAAGCTCGCCTTCGCCGCCACGTCCTCGCGCAGCCACGCCAGGTGCTGCTCCAGAATCTCCTTCTCCTGGATGGGAAAGAACAGGCAGCGAATTAAGGGAGAGCATACAGCATACAGCCTGTATTATACCACATTGGCCTTCGCCGCCACGTCCTCGCGCAGCCATGCCAGGTGCTGCTCCAGAATCTTCTTCTCCTGGAATCAAGAATCATTTGGGATTTTAGTACAAAGAATAATAAATTAAAAGTAAGGGTTATAGTCCAGCGAGCAACCCGGGATGCTTGGCGTCACGGAAACGGTGGAGCTCAAAAACGATGAAATTAACTGGGGATGCGTACGGAAACTGCCTATATGCGAAATAACCGCAGTTTCCAGTCATGCAGGGCAAGACAGACGCACGCACCTGCACATGGCGGGTGACGGCGGCCTTGCAGCGGGACGCCTCTGCCTCAGCCGTCCTCAGCCGACCCTCCAACTCGGTCCGCGAATCAGTCAGGGCGACCTGCGATGTGACAATAGCGAATGGCAATGGCGCTTAAAGTAAAAATTCGCAGCACGTGAAGTTAAGCGGCAGAGAGAGTTGATCGGATGCAACCGAAGATTTTGATGGTCGTTCAAACAAGGTCGTTCGACTCACGATCTTGTCGAGGTACGACTTGAGCGACGCGTTCTTCTCGTCGATCTCGAGGTTCTTCCGCTCGATCACGTCCACGATGTCCCGCCGACTCGTCTGCGCCTCCGCCAGCTCCGCTTTCAGCCGCTCCCGCTCGCCATCCCCCTGAATCTGCAGAATCGATAATAAGTACCTTAATTAGTCCCGAAATTCTGAAGGTCGGACAGCCGAAACATCAAAGACATTCTATAGGTCCTGAATCTACTTGCGATTTCGAGGAAGCTCACGAGTTAGGCGGAAAATGAACCGGGTCGAAACGACCTAATTAATGCGAAGCGCCCGGGGAGACCTACCGCTTCCAACTGCAGGCGATGGACCTGCGCTTTAATCTCCGCGAGCTCCGCCGCCTTCTGGTCGAGATCCGCGGTGAGAAATCCCTTGTCGCGCTCGAGCTGCGCGTTCTCGTCCGTCACCGCCAGGTACTTCTGCTCTATCAGCGAGCAGGTTTGCTCCGCGTTGATCTCCGCCGCATCCGCCTGCGCCTTGTGCGTCTCGAGCTGGCGGAGAAGCGACGCTAGCTGCTCCTCCGCCTTCCGCGCAACGGCCCTGACATCGCCCTGAAAGGCCTGCAGCTCCTCCTCCGATAGGAAAAGAGGCATCGTGAAATTCCTGAACTAACTAGGGATTTTTTCCGAAATGCAGCAACCAGGCTGTGCGGGATGTTAAAATTTTCACGACTCGCGTCCCGCGAAATCTGGGTAGGTTCCTAGCCGCATCTACCCAGAAGCCATGAGCGTAGCCTGCAAGAAAAAAGTAGGAGGTAATGAGGGGGGAGAGGAAAAAAGCAAGAATACTGCTCTGCTCTACTGCCTGCAGAAAGGGAAGAGATGGAAAACAGTGTTCCCGCCAATGGTGACTACAACGAGAGGAGCCTTCACCCACTAGGGAGTGAAAGGTGAATGTCAGCACCGCACTCTTGCTGGACATTTTGCTGCATATTTATCAAATTACGTTCTGTACACTCAAATTGGGTGTACTACTGCCTAACATCTGATTTTGCGCCCTGATACAACTGTTGCCGACGCGCTGCGACCTCTCGTTCACTGAAGCAACAATCCCGAGGAGATCATACCAGCTGTAAAGCTGACTACTCCACATCATCACCACCAACACATGACACTGAAATGAGCTTGATTACGGTGCAGTAAGCTGCTTAGCGTTTTAAAGCTTTTGTAAAACGATATAGAATGGTTAGGTAGGGTATTTGTGAAGAGAGGTGTGTTCGGGATGGGATGGGACCCACCCTAAAACCCAACGGTTAGTTGCTGCGCTGCTCAGCTCACACACTTCAGCGATTGATTGATGCCAAAACTAACTGAACTGAACCCAAGACAGAGGAGTCGTCGATCCGTTGTCGATTCCTTGTCGATCCGTCCTGTCAGGCCTGCTCAACCTTCGAGGATCATAGAACGAGGTCGAGGCTCCTAGCGTGCCATTTCGCGTGTCTAGAGTGCAATCGGCTCATGCACATTCGAGACTGCGACCTCGGAGATAAGGCCGCATATGCTCGAGACTACGACCTCCATAATTCCAGGTTCTGGCATGCAGAGGTTCTAGGAGCTACCATGCAGCGAACATCAGCGAGCAATTTCTGCGAGGACAGGAACGTGTTACAATCTAGATAATATCGTGTCGTACCACGCGGTGCAAAGTTAGTTATCCGGAATAATTGGCGACGCGATACAGCCGTGATGTCGCCTTCCTCTCCGTCCATGTCTCCCTCCGCTCCTTCCCTTGCAAGCACGGGAGCGAGTAGAAGATTCCGAACAGTGCAGCCTGTAGAGGGTACACGCTTTTTTAAATTTCTCGAAAATCTCTCGCAGGGTACACGCTCCCGCTCGCGCGGATCAAGACATCACGGCTCCCCTCTTTCCTCGATAGGAGCCGCTCACGACCAGCAGCCTCGCAGAATCTTCGCGCAGACTCACAAACTACGCACACAATTGAGACCCTCAGCTCTCGACCGCCTAGTCCGCGTCTCTCATCGCAGTAGCCTTGGGAACTCCACGAGAACTTTCACGAGCACCAGAATTCTCCAATGCCACGTCAGCATAGAAAGCACTGGATCATTGAAGCAAACCTCTCCTACTCATGAGGCCAGCGTCACGCCGGAAGCAGGGCAGCACCGGGAGCATGCACAGTCGGAGATCCTCAAAGAGAGGAGCCGCACGCAGGCTGATCCGCCTTTAGTGAAGGCTGCTCTAAAGCCTCTAGCATCGCTGGAAGATACTTCCACGAGAGCCTTGGGAGAGACAGTGCCTGAGGAACCTCGGCGTGTTGAAGGAGAGGAGAATGCCCCTCGGCGGTCGCTCACGGACTTGGTGCCGCTGCTGATGGAGCGGGGCGCTGAAGCCCTCACCAAGGTGGTTGCTTCTCGCGTGGGCGGTCTCGTCGTTCTCAACATCGTCACCATGCTCTATGGTACGTCATCACCATGCTCTATGGTACGTCGTCACCATGCTCTATGGTACGTCGTCACCATGCTCTATGGTACGTCATCACCATGCTCTATGGTACGTCATCACCATGCTCTATGGTACGTCGTCACCATGCTCTATGGTACGTCGTCACCATGCTCTATGGTACGTCGTCACCATGCTCTATGGTACGTCGTCACCATGCTCTATGGTACGTCGTCACCATGCTCTATGGTACGTCGTCACCATGCTCTATGGTACGTCGTCACCATGCTCTATGGTACGTCGTCACCATGCTCTATGATACGTCGTCACCATGCTCTATGGTACGTCGTCACCATGCTCTATGGTACGTCGTCACCATGCTCTATGGTACGTCGTCACCATGCTCTATGGTACGTCGTCACCATGCTCTATGGTACGTCGTCACCATGCTCTATGGTACGTCGTCACCATGCTCTATGGTACGTCGTCACCATGCTCTATGGTACGTCGTCACCATGCTCTATGGTACGTCGTCCATGCTCTATGGTACGTCGTCACCATGCTCTATGGTACGTCGTCACCATGCTCTATGGTACGTCGTCACCATGCTCTATGGTACGTCGTCACCATGCTCTATGGTACGTCGTCACCATGCTCTATGGTACGTCGTCACCATGCTCTATGGTACGTCATCACCATGCTCTATGGTACGTCGTCACCATGCTCTATGGTACGTCGTCACCATGCTCTATGGTACGTCGTCACCATGCTCTATGGTACGTCATCACCATGCTCTATGGTACGTCGTCACCATGCTCTATGGTACGTCATCACCATGCTCTATGGTACGTCATCACCATGCTCTATGGTACGTCGTCACCATGCTCTATGATACGTCGTCACCATGCTCTATGGTACGTCGTCACCATGCTCTATGGTACGTCGTCACCATGCTCTATGGTACGTCGTCACCATGCTCTATGGTACGTCGTCACCATGCTCTATGGTACGTCGTCACCATGCCTATGGTACGTCGTCACCATGCTCTATGGTACGTCGTCACCATGCTCTATGGTACGTCGTCACCATGCTCCTATGGTACGTCGTCACCATGCTCTATGGTACGTCGTCACCATGCTCTATGGTACGTCGTCACCCATGCTCTATGGTACGTCGTCCACCATGCTCTATGGTACGTCGTCACCATGCTCTATGGTACGTCGTCACCATGCTCTATGGTACTTTTTTTACGTCGTCACCATGCTCTATGGTACGTCATCACCATGCTCTATGGTACGTCGTCACCATGCTCTATGGTACGTCGTCACCATGCTCTATGGTACGTCGTCACCATGCTCTATGGTACGTCATCACCATGCTCTATGGTACGTCGTCACCATGCTCTATGGTACGTCATCACCATGCTCTATGGTACGTCATCACCATGCCTCTATGGTACTTCGTCACCATCTATGGTTCGCTGTGTTGTGAATTGAACTCCGTCGTCCTCTCAGTTTCCTAGTAAGCAATTGACTCACACCGTGCTTCTGGCCTCTTCCGTCTGCTCTTCTCCGCCGTTGGATCTTAACCAGCCCGTCTGCGTCCTCACCTTACCACTACCATGCCCTAACTCCTGCTCCTCCCATGCCTCCTTCCTTCCTACCGCACCCTCCCACGCAGCCACTAACACAACCATAGTCAAGGGAGCGGAGGAGGCCGCAGGGGGGCCTCTGCCGTTCTGCCTGGGCCGCTTCGCCATCGCTGCTCTAGCGCTCTCGCCGCTGCTCCCTGCCGGCCTCTCCAACCCCACTGTCCGTCGCTGCGGCGTGGAGATGGGCCTCTGGACGTCCCTGGCGTACCTCTCCCAGGCCTTCGCGCTCATCACCACTGGCGCTGGTCGCGTCTCATTTATAAGCACCTTCACGGTAATCTCTTTCACTGCCTATATGAGCCTGCCAGGTGTCACTTTTAAACCCTTAAAACCCTTTCCACCTCTCTGATTGCACCTGAAACCCTCCTATCTAGTACCGGTCTCCTTGCCTTGGTGCATACCACCCGACATGGACTGCTCAACTGGTGTATACTCTCTATCATGTTGTCCTGTGATGTTCCCCGCATGAAAGATGATAGAGGTGCCTCTGGTGGCGGGTCTCTTGGGGGCGCGCATCCCTCCCCTTGTGTGGGCTGCCACTGCCTCGGCTGTTGCTGGTGTTCTGCTCCTCGAAGCCAACTCAGAGGCGTCCACGCTGGTGCGTTATTAAGAACTCTGAACCCTGAGCCAACTCACAGGCGCCCCCGCTGGTGCGTGCACTGTTGCTCGTGCCCTAAACATGTGCACAACCTCTTGAGTCGACTCTTAACTCAGCCCGAATCATGTGCACAACCTCTGGTCAGCTGGTGATGGCATAGCATAGGTCAGTGCCATGGCGTTAGTCTGGGCAGCTTGGCTCAGTCAGATTTTTAGACGTCTCTAAAACACCTCACCCATCTATCTCACCTCACCCATCTCACCTCACCCATCTCACCTCACCCATCTCACCTCACCCCATCTCTCCTCACCCATCTCCACCTCACACCCATCTCTCCTCACCCATCTCACCCTCACATGCTTTGAAACGCAACTCTCTGGGTCAGGTTGGTCAGCGGCATGGTTTGGTGACAGCCTGGCGTTTGGTAAGGGGCATGGTGGTGACAGCCTGGCGTCTGTCGGGAAAAATAGCCGGTCAGAGGCTCGAATGTTTTCATCAACAGCCCATTTTCGCCCTCTCTGACGTGCCATGAACCTCGCTAATCAGGTCGGCGACGGCCTGGCACTGGTGAGCGCCATGGCGTTTGGCCTTCAGATCATTCGGTCAGAGAAGTTTGCAAAGAGTGTGCCGCCCTCAGCCACCCTTGACCTCATCTCAGTGCAGGTAGGGGGGGGGTCTTGCCGGTGGCCATGTGGTGGGGGTGTCAAGGATTGTGTGAATGAGAAGTGGGAAGCAGTAAGGGTGGAGGAACATCTTGGTGGTGATGTCTTATCGTCGAAGGGGGGTGCGCCACGCCACCTCGTTATCAAGATGTAACATGTACCCGCCGAAGCTGTGAGTCGAAACTTATAAGTTTCTTTTGTCAAAGCTGTGATTTCTCATTAAGGTGTCTCCTCCAGTTTCCACATCCCCGTACACCCGTCTCCCACCCTGGCAGATATTCACTGTTGCATGCTGCGCTGCTGTAGGTGTGGCCATCACTAGCTTCGTGGATCTTCCATCCACCAGCACCGCCCTTGCAGAGACCGCAGCAGCAGTGGCAGCAGCTGTCGCAGCACCAGCAGCCGTGACAGCATCAGCCACAGAATTTGCCACAGGTCTTTCCAGCAGTCCTTTGGACGGCTCTTATAGCCAATTCCAGGACCTGCTCACTATACTCCCGTCAACCGATGACCTCACAAGACTGGTCTCACAGGCGAGCACATGGCCGTGGCTTCAGATGGCATACACTGGCGTCGTCTCCACAGCACTCTGCCTCTGGCTCGAGGTAACCTTTCCTGCAGCTCTTTGTTTGTTTCACTGTTGGCCAATGAGGTGACTTTTGAGTCGACTCAAAAGCCACCTTTCCTGGAGCTCTTTGTTTGTTTGACTGAAGCCCTACCTATGTAGAGATTTCCGCACTGACATTCTCTGCTTGCTGCTGTTACTCTCCAGAACGTGGCCTTGAGGCACGTGGCAGCTTTTTGTGAGGCGCCCCAAATGTAGAGACTTTTGCACCGATGTTCTCTGCTTGCTGTTGATACCTTTTCAGATTTTGGCTTTCAGGCACGTGGCGGCGTCGGATGCTGCAGTGATCTACACTCTCGATCCCCTCTATTCTGCTGTGTTGGCAACAATCGTGCTCCATGAGGAGTGGACAACTCTCAGCTACGTAGGCGCAGCATTGATTTTTGGTGAGAAGATCTTGGCGCATGGATAAGCGTGCTCTCCTATGGCTTTGCTTGGCTCTTTGGCTATCATGCATGCTCCTTCCTCTCCCTTTCATTCAGCCAAAGCCTTTTTTGTTTTGGCTGTTATCTTTTGCAGGAGGGAGTGTTGTTGTGCAGCTTGGGAATACAACGATGGCGATGATACCGAGTAGATGTTTCACCTTGTCTATTTATTGTTGCTATGGGCATCGTATTGCGTGCAAATGTGTAGGGCATGCAAGGGTTAAAAGGGCTGCTCTTGTGTCATCGAATCTCATGGGTAGCGATGTTTCTGTTCGTTGCTGCGGCACCAATGATGGAGATTCACAAATCAAGTTTTTGTACGTGTCTTCCACTTCTGCAATATAGTGCGAAGACCGTTGCTTTTACCGAGTCACCTTCTAACGGTTCCACTACATCCCAAACCCCTTCCAGCCAATGCCAGGAAAAGAGCACCTTTCTAGCGGGTGTTTCCTGCACGTAACGCAGCCCCGAGCTTACCGCATGCCCGCACTTTCCGCAGCCAAAACCGCGTCGCCGCATTTCTCGCCGCCAGCCATGCACTCCATCGCTCAGCACTGCCTAGCATCATCATCATCTTCATATTCCTCTAACGCCCCCCCCCCCTAACGCCCCCCACCCCTCCTTGCCCTCACACCTCACTCCCTCGGTTCTCAGGCCAACGCTCCGTCTTTCTGCCCCCCCCACTGTTCTGCCCTCCCCGCCATCAGCCCCCCAATCATCCGCCCTCCCTACCTTCGGCCCTCACCACCTTCCGCCCTCACTACTGGACTGCCTCTTCCCTTCCTCACACGTGCTACAGCTGCCCCTTCCGCCCCCCCTCCCTTCCGCCCTCCCTCCTTCCGCCCTCCCACCCTTCCACCCTTCCACCCTCCCTACCTTCCGCCCTCCCTACCTTCCCCACACTCACCTCCCCACAATCCCTAGCTACACTCCCTCCCTGCTCTCATGCCTCACTCACTCCCCTCCCTGCCCTCATGCCTCACTCACTCCCTCCCTGCTCACTCACTCCCTCCCGCCGCACTCCTGCCGTTTCCCCTCCCCTGCTCTCGCGCATCTCACCCATCCCTGCTCTCCCTCCTCTTCCCCCCTCCCATGTCTCCCTCCTCTCCCCCTCCCCTGCTCTCAATCCACTACCCCTCTCCTGCTCCCCTCACTCTCCCTGCACTCTGACGCCTGTCTCCCTCCCCTGCCCTCACTCCTCACGATCCCGTTGCTCTCACTCCTCTCTTCCATGTTCCTGCCCTCTCGCCTTTCTCCCTCTCTCACGCCCCGCTCTCTTCCCTGCTGCTTCGCCTCTCTTCCATGTTCCTCTCTCGCTTCTCTTCCTCCCCTTCCCTCTCCCTTCTTCCGCCCCCTCTCTCCCCTCTCTCCCTGCTCTCTCGCCTCTCTTCCCACCAGCTCTCTCTGGTCTCTTCCCCCCCTCGACTCTCGCCTCTCTACCTCCCTAGTTTCTCGCCTATCGCACTCCCTCATCTCTCTCCTCTCTTCCTCCCCCCTCTCTCGCTTCTCTTCCTCCCCCCTCTCTCCCCTCTCTTCCTCCCCCTCTCTCGCCTCTCTTTTTCCCCCCTCTCTCGCCTCTCTTCCTCCCCCCTCTCTCGCCTCTCTTCCTCCCCCCTCTCTCCCTCTCTTCCTCCCCCCTCTCTCGCCTCTCTTCCTCCCCCTTCTCTCGCCTCTCTTTCTCCCTGATCTCTCGCCCCCCTCCCCCCCACCCGTCTCTCGCCTCTCTTGTTCCCTTCTCTCTCGCCTCTCTTATCCCCTGCTAAGTCGCCTCTCAATTTCCCTGCTATTTCGCCACACTTACTCCCTGATCTCTCGCCTCTATTCCTCCCTCCTCACGCGCCTCCTATCCACCCCCCTCTCTCGCCTCTATTCATCGCCCCTCTCTCCATCTCTGTCCCCGCGCCTATCGAACGGCGAAGAACATTCCGCAAGCGCGAAGCTTGCAGGAACCGGGAATCGGGAAGGCAGCGGGAAGCGAGGAAGGGCCGCACAGCGGGCTCTGGGGAGCGAGTCGCTGTGGAAAGTAGCAACATGGCGGCATGGGAAGGTGGGTGAGTCGCTGCGGTTCGCACGGGCTGCGCGAAGCGGGAAACAGCGGGAAGCAGGTCCCGCTTGCAGCCAACCATCGCCAAGGGGGGCGGAAAGTGGGTAATGGGCAGCGGCAGGAAGCTTGGAGGCGCAGCGGCGCGGGAAACTGTTCGCAGGACGCGTGGTGCACTCGCGATGAGGGTAGCGGCGGGCAGTGGGGCGCTAGAGATGCTGCGCGAAGCGAGATGGTTGAGACGGCAGGAAGCTGGGTTCCCGGAGCTAGAAGGCTAGACCGACGGGTATGAGTGAACTGGACTAGGCTAGCGCGTCTGATTGCGAAATGCTGGTGGGAAAAGCTACGCATGGCTCCATTTTGTGAACAAAATGGTTTTCAAGCAGTCCCAAATTACAAGCCCCGCTTTTTCCCCTTGGAGGTTTCTTCCCTTTGGTTGGAGTTTGTGCTGGGTTAGCGAAACACGATTTTCCCCATCGTCCAAACACACGCCTCCCTTCTCCATCACCCCCCCCCACTTGTTCACTGTTTTCAAATTGCACAGGGTAACCACTCAGACCCCTTCTATTATGATTTAGAAGATGTCAATGAACTATAACGTGAGAATACAAGGTCGCTATTGCAATGAAAGCACGAGGTTATATAGGAGTAGACGTAATAGGGCGATAACCTCGGGACGTGGGTAGGTTCGGCAATGTGGCGACGCTGTCGGACGCGACTCGAGAAAGGGTTGGGTCGAAAATGTAGGCCAAACGTGACGAGTCGAAGTGTTCGGGTGTGCGCGGTAGCGGGCGACTCAGTAAGGAATGGAAATTCCTTACACTACCCCCCCCTCCTAAACGAGTCCGTGGGCATCGGAGACGTTACGACGCTGATAATACGCCGTTAGAATCGGATGGGATTCTAGGTCAACGAGAGGCACCCAACTGTCGTCTTCGGACGTGCGATCGCGCCAGCGGACGAGGAAATCAACCATCCGACAGTTCAGCTACGTGGTGACGCGATGGCCGAGGATTTTCAGGGGCTCGGTCGTCGATTCCTGCAAAGGCGTTAGTTGCGGTACGCCGCGGTTGCGTGCCAAATCCGACGAACTCGGGACGTAGGGTCGGAGAAGGCTGACGTGGAAAGCCGGGTGGTGGCACCAATCAGCCGGTAGTCGAAGGTGAACAGTGACAGGTGTCACTAGGTTGGTCACTTGAAAAGGTTCACAGAATCTGGGTCGGAGTTTGCTTGGGATCGGCAGCCGCAGATTGCGGGTGTCGAGGAGGACTAGATCTCCCACTTTGTAAGTGACGTCACGGCGATGACGATCGGCTTGTCGGCTTGCAACCAGGTTGGCTTTTCGGATGGCTTCAGCTGCTTTTTCTCGAGCGGCGAGAATGTCTTCAGCAAATTTCTGGGACCGGGGCACGGGTGACTCTATTGTCGGTGTAGAGGGTACGACTGGGTCCTGTCCGTAGTTGAGGAAGAATGGAGATTGGTTGGTTGTGGCGGAGGTCGCGTTATTATACGCGAATTCTAGCAGCGGAAGGGATTTCTCCCATGTAGATGGGTCAGTACAGGTAGTACGAATCAGTTGCTCCATGGTCTGGTTGACGCGTTCGGTCTGCCCGTCGGTCTATGGGTGGTAGGCGGATGAAAATTGGAGTTTGGTGCCGAATTGATCCCACATGTGGCGCCAGAAATTCGATGTGAATTTCAGGTCTCGATCTGAAATGATGGCGGAGGGCAGTCTGTGCAGTTGGATGACGTTCGTGAGGAACAGTTGCGCTGTTTGTTCGGCGATGATTGTCTGTTGGCAGGCGATGAAGTGCGCCATTTTCGTGAGTCGGTCAACGACCACGAGGATGGCGTCGTTTCCGCTGGGACCGGCCGGTAGTCCTGTCACGTAGTCCATCGTGACGTGTTGCCAGGGTCGCTCGGGCGGATCCAACGGCTGTAGTAGTCCGGCTGCTCGTTGATGCGACGATTTCATAATCTGACAGGCAGTACAGGAGGATACGTACTTGCGCACGTCATCGGCCATGTTCGGCTAGTAATAATTCCGCTGCAACATCTTCGTGGTTTTATCGACGCCGAAATGTCCTGAGGTAGGGTTGTCGTGGGATTCCTGGATTAGGAGGGTACGAAGTAAATCGTAGCCTGGCACCCAAATGCGAGAAGTACCACGCTTATAAAAATATGGCCCGGTGGTTGTGGTATGCTGTTGATGGATGGCTGAGCGGAAAAAGGGATCGATCTTGTAGCCGTGGGTGAATAGTCTCGTAAGTAATGGGTTGGTCTGGGCGATTAGTATCGCAGCGGTATGGACAGTAGGGCGGGTCAAGGCATCGGCGATATTATTGGCACCCCGTTTGTAGGTGATGGTGTAGTGGAAGTTGGACTCGAGGAAATCGAGCCATCGAATCTGTCGCGGGTTGAGATTCGGTTGGGCGCGCAGGTACTGTAAGGATTTGTGGTCCGTCCGCACCGTGACATCAGCTCCGGTCAGGTAGCACCGCCAGGTCTTGAACGCGTGGACGATCGCCAGCATTTCCTTGTCGTGTACGGTATAGTTTTTCTCCGCGCCCTGCAGTTTCTGTGATTCGTAGGCGACTGGTTGTAACCCGTCGCCGAAGTCCTGGAGGAGAACAGCACCGATGGCGATGTCGCTGGCGTCGGTGACGACTTCGTATGGACGGTCGGGATCGGAGATGCGAAGTACGGGTGGCGACGTGAGGGCGATTTTGAGTTGGTCGAATGCAGCTTGCTGCTTCTCTCCCCACCAAAAACAGTCGTGATCCTTCAGTCGGTCAGTTAGAGGAGCAGATAACCCAGCCATATTGGGGATGAAGCAGCGGACGTAGTTGACGAAACCCAGAAAACTCTGTAGTTCCTTGAGGTTGGTCGGCGGCTTCCATTCCTGTATAGTCTTGATTTTCTTGGGGTCGATTTTCACTCCTTCGGTAGAGACGACGTGGCCCAAAAACTCCAACTCTTGCTTAAGAAAATCGCACTTAGACCCTTTCGTGATGAGGCGATTCTTGTGCAGCAGCGTGAAGACTGCATCAAGATCCTTTAAGTGCTGCTCCCTGCTGCAGCTGTAGATTAGGATGTCGTCGAGGTAGATAATTACGCATTTATCCAGGAGTTCGCGGAAAACACCGTTCATGGTCATCTGAAAAGTCGAGGGCGCGTTTGTGAGGCCAAAAGGCATCACCAGGTATTCGTAATTGCCGTAGCGGGTTCGGAAAGCGGTTTTGTGACAATCGTCGGCGGTGACGCGAATTTGATGGTAACCTCCTCGAAGGTCGATTTTCGAGAAGAACTTGGCTCCGCGAAGTTGGTCGAGGAGGTCGTCGGCTAGCGGGATCGAGTAACGGGACTTGATGGTGATGCGGTTGAGCGCGCGGTAGTCGATGCACATGCGGAATCCTCCATCTTTTTTCGGTGTGAACAGTATCGGGGCGGCGTATGGGGACGTGCTGGGTCGGATAAAACCCTTCGTCATGAGGTAATCTAACTGCTGCTGCAATTCTTCGAGTTCAGGTTGGCTGAGCCGAAATTGTCGCTGTACTGTCGGTTGTGCGCCTGGTTCCAGCTCGATGCGATGGTCTTCGGGTCGGCTTGGCGGGAGTCCGGCGGGTAGGTCGTCCGGGAAAATCTCGGGGTATTTTCGAATGAGTTCCGCTAAATCCGGAGGAACGGCTTCACACAGCTTCGTGATATCTTCCGCAGTTATCGGCGACGTCACTTCGCGAAGATCGACGGCGTATGCTGCTGCTCCCGCTTTTATCGCGCGCTTGAAGGTGATCGCGTGGACTTGGGTACTTCGCATGCGGGGTCCCGTCCATTTCGGTAACTCGTGATAGTGCCCATCGATCTTGATGCTGCAGCTGCCTGTCGTCCAGTCGATTCTCGGGTTGTACTGTCGCAGCCAATCCCGTCCCAGCAGCACATCGCACCCGTCGAGTGTAGTCGCCAGCAGCCCCATCCGAAATTTTACATGCTCGCCGCAGTGGAAACTGACGTGCTCCACCCGCTCCCGTATAGCCAGCGGTGTTCCATCCACCAGTCGTGCGTCAATTTTGGGTAGGCACTTTAATAAGGGGATACCCATTTTCTTAGCCCTGTCTAGCTGTATGAGACTGTGACTCGCGCCTCCATCCACAAATATTTTCAGCAACACCCCGTTGACTTTACCCTCCACCAACACAGGGTGATCAGCAGTTTCGTCCCCCTTATTCGTCCGGGTCCGGTCGATTGCAGCAATCGGGGTCACGACCCGGTGGGGACTGTGTGGTTCGGGCGAAGGAGCCTCCCCGTCAGTAAGGGGCCCGGTACTTACTGACGCGACCCATTTCCAGGTCGCTCCTCCAGCTTCTTCCCCATAGAATTCTGGATGGCTATGAACTCTTGGCAGTTGCGTTTGATGTGACCCGGTCGGCCACAGTGGTAGCATAGCCCCGTATTTCGCGGAGCAACTGCGTAAATATCCACTGCGTCCATCCCTTTTATCGTGGCGCGCTGGTACTGTTCTCGGGGGCGACCTCCGTCGTAGAAGTTCGTCCTCGACTTCGTGAGCGAGTCAGCGGCTTCGGCGAGTTGGATGAAGTCTTGTAACCACTTCGCAGGTCATTGTAATTTTATTTGGTACTGTATTTCAGGCTTCAGCCCGCCCATGTACCTGTCGACCTTCTCCAACTCGTGCATGTAGCCACATCAATCCACCAACGTCAAGAATGACGCGGTGTAGTCAGACACAGATCCCAGCTGCTTCCACATGCGTAAAGTAGATATTCATGGCGAATATCCACTGCCGCACCGTCACGCATTTATTAGCTGGGTCGAAGGGAGCGGGTTGCTGATATCTCACGCCGCCACTTGTCGAGCGCGGGGCTGTCGCCGCTAGCCGTGCTAGCTCCACTGGTGTCGGTTGCTGCTCACCCGCCTCGCTTCGTGCATCGTCGCCCGGCTCCTCTGAACGCCTTTCCTGCGCCTGGCGAAGTCGTTGGTTTTCGTCACGGAGGTTGTTGACGACGCTTGTCAAATTATTCAACTGCTCCATTAATGCTTGCAGGTCTACTGTTTCCCGGGCAGAGTTCGCAGCAGTCGAGGTTGTCTGTTCCTCAACCGTCGAGTCTACCGGGGCCATGGCGGTCAGGACGGGGCAGAAACTAGCGCACACGCTGTAGTTATTGACGTAAAAATATTTACGATCAAAGGCAACTGCTGTGCAACCGTGTTAATCCCCTCTGACCACCCTTAACTAACTAACGGGGAAAACGGAAGGTTCCGAGAAAGGTCGGGCTCTGATACCAGCTGTTATGATTTAGAAGATGTCAATGAACTATAACGTGAGAATACAAGGTCACTATTGCAATGAAAGCACGAGGTTATATAGGAGTAGACGTAATATGACGATAACCTCGGGACGTGGGTAGGTTCGGCAATGTGGCGACGCTGTCGGACGCGACTCGAGAAAGGGTTGGGTCGAAAATGTAGGCCGAACGTGACGAGTCAGTAAGGAATGGAAATTCCTTACACCTTCCGAAATAGTTAACAAAAAACCTCGCACCTTGTAACTTGGGACCTGGGCTTTAACGGGAAGCTACTCCCAACCAAACGCTGGGATCGCGTGCTGTGCCCGGGAGCCAAGGACCTGCTGAATAACTTCATTTCCTCCTTTTCCCCCCGCTCACACCGAATTACTCGCGTCGTCTGAGCTGTGAACCTGTGATCCGACCCGACAGACTTGTCCACCAAGCGAATTCTACGCCGTCACTGCGTCCACCAATTCCTCGGAACCGACCGACCAGCCGCGTTCCTTCCAGGAATGGCTTTGGTGCGCCTCCAAACACGCAGCTATGATCCGTGTGGCACGCAGGTTTGGACCGTGTGGCACACAGCCTCCTGCCCTGCCCCCAGCATACGGCTTAGGCAGCCCCGCCAATCGCGGAGCGAACAGGCGCCGAACTTCGAAGTATTTAATGTGGCTGCTCCCAACAAGCTGCATTATTGAATTCCACTTCCGAGTAACTTACTCCGCATAGTGCCTTCTTCAGCTCTCTGACTCTTTGCTTACAACTTGAACTCAGCGCGTCGATCAGCCAGCCACCGTTTCGGAATCCGCCCACATCTTTTATCCGAAGTTCGGGTCGCAGCGCCGCGTGGACGTTTAGTCTCTCTCCTCGCGACCAGACGATGACAAGCGCAGCAGGAATAGTCGTCGTGCTCCCGATCGTCCTGCTCCTTCTCTTGTCATCATCACAACCCACAGCCATCTGCGCGTCCGCCGAATCCACGACCGATTTATCGGAAGCGTTCGCTTCTGGCATGGCCTCGCCCTTAGAAAAGGAGCTTTCGTCGGCGGGACTGACGGGCTTCGCGAGCCTGCTCAGGCACGCCGGGCTGATGCCGGAGCTCGAGCTGCGCGCGCGGACCGGCTCCACCATGACCGTGTTCGCGCCGACCAACGACGCGCTCATGCGCGCGGACCCCGCGCTCCTCGCGTTCCTCAAGCTTCCGCGCAACGGCGCGCTGCTCCGCGACGTGCTGCTGTTCCACGTGGTCGCGCGGCCGGTCTCCGCGTTCGCCTGGGAGGGCGCGCAAACGACGCTGCAGGGCGCGCCGATCGCGCTCCACGTGGACTCGCTCGCGTTCCAGGTGGGCGGAACCACCGTGAAGCAGTACCGCGCGCTCACGCTCTCCCTGGATCTCCTCGGCGAAGGGCCCCTGTCGAGGGAAGGCGCGGACGCGGAGTTTGCACAAAGAAGCGGCTTGGAGGTCGGCGGGAGCGGCACGGCGGGCACGGTCGTGGTTCACACCATCAACGCGCTGCTCGTGCCGCCTTCCTCGACGAAGCGCTCTCGCTTGCCGCCGGTGATCTCTCTATTGTCGCCGCGACGGACAGCAGCGGGCGGTTACTCGCGGAATTGGAGTCCGCTACCCCCGCGCCCGCGTCAGCTCCGAGCTCGTCCCCCGCCCCGCCGCCGGTCCAGCCTTTCCCCCCTCCACCAGTTGCTCCCTCCCCTCCGCCCCCAAAGAGCGGTGCGCCGGGTGTCTCTGCGCTGAGCTTACCACAGCTGGTTCCTTCTGTGGCGGTCGCTATCTTCGCCATCGTTGTGTTGTTGTGATGGGCATCGAAGTGAAATCTAGGGATGCTGCGGTGGAATTTTGAAGGCATAACTTATACCGTGCATAAGTATAGTGCACAATCTAGTTGTTTATTAGATTTATTGTTCAGCACTTTTATACCAAGTATGAAGGCTTGTTCTGTCTTTCCCTACTGTCGCTGACCTCGCTGCTCACCTCCGCACGATATACGCGACTTGGCGCGCTGCCTGCACTAAGACCCAGCTTAGAGCCTTTCAGCCGCCCTTTGCTCTACCTCTACCTGCTTGCTGTTAACATACCGGTACGAGAATGATAACTAGAAGGTGAAACAAGGAACATATAGCTATGGGGTTGTACTCCCTACGAGCACACACCGATACTAGCCTATAACTTCTACATACATGACATGTATAAATTGACACACCCCCTAGGCTAGAGAAGGGGTGGTGCAAGCAAGAAGCACACAGCTCAGGGAGGCATTGCTAGTCCAACCACTGAGGCAGGGGTCCAAAGACCAGTCAGCAAGAGTATAGACAAGACAAAAGCAAACCAGAGCGACACTACTAGTCCAGCCACTGGGAGTAAAGCCATAAGGCTAGTCAGACATGTATATGTATACTGAGGAGTACACAAGTCAGGGTCCTAACAAGTGAGAAGCTACAGGAACAAGACCAAGCTGGACACAGTGCCGCTGATGATCTTTAGGCGCAAACGCCTTCGTAAAGATATCAGCTGTGTTGGCACCGGATGTCAAACATCTGTATTTGTTATGTTTGTATAGACTGTATAGGGTTACCGCTTAGAGGGTACAACACTTAGGTATATTTGTGTGTACTCTCATCTTTACCATTATTCAATTCCAATTCTGATATGGTATCACGCGTAGGTAGGATCCCCCCCCCCCACCTACCGCTTCCGCTCATGCCCCCTAGCGCCCCTCCTGGGCCCCGTCGCGCTCCTCCCAGGCCTCGTCGCGCTCCTCCCAGGCCCCCTAGCGCCCCTCCTGGGCCCCGTCGCGCTCCTCCCAGGCCCCGTAGCGCCCCGTCGCGCCCCTCCTGGGCCCGTAGCGCCCCTCCTGGGCCTCGTCGCGCCCCTCCTGGGCTTCGTAGCGCCCCTCCCAGGCCCCGTCGCGCCCCTCCCAGGCCCCGTCGCGCTCCTCCCAGGCCCACTAGCGCCCCTCCTGGGCCCCGTCGCCCTCCTCTCAGGTCCCGTAGCGCCCCGTCGCGCCCCTCCTGGGCCCCGTAGCGCCCCTCCTGGGCCTCGTCGCGCCCCTCCTGGGCTTTGTAGCGCCCCTCCTCGGCCCTGTAACGCCCCTCCCAGGCCCGTCGCGCCCCTCCCAGGCCCCGTCGCGATCCTCCCAGGCCCCCTAGCGCCCCTCCTGGGCCCCGTCGCGCTCCTCCCAGGCCCGTAGCGCCCCGTCGCGCCCCTCCTGGGCCCCGTAGCGCCCCTCCTGGGCCTCGTCGCACCCCTCCTGGGCTTCGTAGCGCCCCTCCTGGACCTTGTACGCCCCTCCCAGGCCCCGTCGCGCCCCTCCCAGGCCCCGTCGCGCTCCTCCCAGGCCCCTAGCGCCCCTCCTGGGCCCCGTCGCGCTCCTCCCAGGCCCCGTAGCGCCCCTCCTGGGCTCTGTCGCGCCCCTCCTTGGCCCCGTCGCGCCCTCCCAGGCCCCGTCGCGCCCCTCCGTGGCTCCGTAGCGCCCTACTGGGCCCCGTCGCGCCCCTCCCTGGGCCCTGTAGCGCCCCTCCTGGGCCCCGTCGCACCTGCCCGACCCGTCGCAACCGTGCCCCGTCGCGCCCCGGGCCGTCGACCGCCCCCGTCGCGCCCCGGCCCCGTCGCAGCCCCGGGCCGTCGCGCCCGGGCCCGTCGCAGCGCCTGGGCCCCGTCGGCCCCTTCGGCCTGGGCCCTATCGCAGCCGTCCGGCCCCGTCGCACCTGCCGGCCCCGTCGCATCCCTGCCCCGGTCCCACCGTCGCAGGCCCGCCCGGCCCCCCCCGCCCGTCGCACCCGCCCCCGGCCGCCGTCGCCGTCCCGCTCGGCCCGGCCCCGTCGCACCGGCCCGGCCCTGCCGCACTCGGCCCGGCCCCGTCGCCCCAGCCCGGCCCCGTCGCGCCCGCTCGGCCCCCGTCGCCCCGTCCCGGCCCTGTCACACCAGCCCGGTCCCGTCGCGCCCGCCCGCGGCCGGCCCCGTCGGGCCAACCCCGGCCCCCGTCCTCCGCACTGGTACGGTTCCCCCCCCCCACCCCGCCCAGCTCCGTGCCGCCCCGCACCACACTGTACTGCCTGGCACCCGGCACTACAACCGCACTACACCGCACTGGCAACCGCACTGCACCGCACTGTAACGGCACCTGCACCCGCATTGCATCCGCACTGCACCGCACTGTACCCGCACTGCACCGCACTGCCGCACTGCACCGCACTGCACCGACTGGCACTACCTGCACGCGCACTGGACTGTTCCTCGATGGCGGCGGAGCTTCGTTTCGACGGCTGAAGGTCAGCCCCTAGAGTTCGAGGCGTGGCTTGCCGACCTCCGCCGCCAACTCACTGGTCAGCGGCAGGATGGTGAACCGCTTTCCGCACACCTTGACGGTAACGCTCCCCTGCCCAGACCCCCCTGCTATCCTGCCCGCTGACCCCACACCCACTGAGCGTGAGTCTACTGCTGCCACTGGCCCGGTGCGCGCTCTGTCCTGGCTTTCTCGGCGATGCTGTTGCCCCAGCTTGCCATTAGCAACGCCCTTCCCCCATCCGAGCGTCCTCGCTTTAGGTCTCTCACTACTGCTCAGGCATACTTAGATGCTGTGATCAAGCGCTATTCCCACCCCTCCGGCTGCCTCGGTGGGTCGCCTGAACCTTCCGATGCTCTTTCCTGACCTTGCATCTTTCCCCACTGTCTCTGACCTCGCTGCCCACCTGCGCTCGATAGATGAGACCTGGCGCGCTGCCTGCACTGACGCACAGCTTAGAGCCCACCAGCCGCCCATTACCTCTACCCTCTATCTGCTTGCCACCCGCCTCCCTGACCGCCTTGCTGTCGCCCCGCGACCGCTTTCTTAGCGTTCACCCCGCAGACCTCACCCTCACTGACTTGTAGACACCCTGACTGTGATAGAGACCCGTCACCGCTCCATCGCCCAGGCGAGCGGTGTCGTGCCGGTCCCTATCTTTCAGGGTTGTGCCCCCGCTCAGTGCACCTTCTCCGACGGCTCTGCCGCAGTGGCTGAGACTGCTGCTGGCAGCGCAGGTCCGTTCGGGGAAGGGCCGCCGCCCCAAGGCTGGGCGCGGCGGAGGAGGCGGCGGGGGTGCGGGCGGGGGTAGTGGTGGGGTCGGGTCGTCTGGTGCTGGAGTGGACGAGGGGACCCTGCCCAGTTCAGCTGAGTCGCCGCCCCTGCAGGTGCAGCAGCCGCAGCAGCCGCCGCAGTCGCAGCCTTCGCAGCAGCCGTCGCAGACGCGGCAGACGAGTGTCCTCCCGCCAGGGTGGGCCCGGCGCTGGCGGTGGCCGGGCGCGTGGTGGTGTGCCGCGTGGTGGCTCTGGCGGCGGGCGTTGTCAGTACCAGATCCAGACCGGTCCTCGCCGCGGCTTCGTTTGCGGTAAGATCGGTCACTCCACTCCCCGCTGTTTTCGTCGCCTGGACGACCTCTTTCGTCAGCGCTTCGGCCC